CACCTGTCATTTCTATCACTCTTGCTCTTCTTCCGCCTGCCATGTCATCTTTCCTCCCGGAACTTACTTGACGGCCACAGTCTACCTGAGATCCGGCGTCGTCCTGCACGTGGAGGAAGGTGCCACTGTACTCGGCGGCACGAAGCTCGAAGACTACCCGAAGGAGTCGTCTAGGTGGTACGTGGTGGTAGCGGAGAATGCGAGCAACGTCGGGATTACTGGGGGAGGAGTCATCGACGGTCAGGGGCTGAAGTTCGTGACGAGGTTCGACGAGCGGAAGAACGTTATGGTGAGCTGGAATCAGACCGGGAGTTGCTTGGGGGATGAGTGCAGACCACGCCTCGTTGGGTTCATCGGGTGCAAAAACGTCACCGTTTGGAATATTCAGTTCATCGAGCCGGCCTACTGGTGGTTAGTTCACTACTTTTTTTCTTTACTGCCCTTTTACTCTCTCCAATTGCAGTAATGCCCTCGTCGCTTTTAATGACGACCTATAAAAAAACTAGTGCCTTTACGTAAGACCAACCACATAATGAAACTATACTTTTAACCTAAAACCATTGTATTAAATCCTTTATCAAGTACCAAAGACTAGTTTGAATTAGCTTTATATACTACTTATATAAACTAAGAAGCAATGTTTGTATTTGTTTTGAGGAAGACTGTTTCAGCTACATCATATAATACATGTTGTACAGGTATACTTGATAAGTTGGAATCTTGGTCGAGTATAAAATGTCTTTTCTGATTGAACACGAAAAGAAATATTTAATCTAATAATGGGATTATGTTCTTGTTGTCAGGTTTTTGTTTTTTGTTTTGTTTTATATAGATATGCATTTGACTATAGTGTAGGCTACAGTACGAAATATCCAAATTATAATGTCAATCTTATCCTTCTCGCTTTCAGCTTAGAGCTTTTCTTTTCATACGCTCACCTCCTATATTTTGACCAGATTCGATTTCTTTTCAAGTTCACAAAAGATTTGTCAGTATTATAAGATACACAATAAGAATTCACTCTCTTTTTTCAGTTAGTAATCCGATTGGGTGCTAAATTGTGAGGAAGCAAATACAATATCTGAAAATGGTACAACTTATATACACTATGACACAATGAAAAGGGACCCAGAAGGGATAGTGTGATTCCTGTGGCACTCCAACTTTGCTTTGATGGCAAACCAGATGTGGCCTTCAAGCAACTAGCTTGAAGAGATAGACCAAAATTGTCTGTTCCTTCATGGCTAAGCTTTTAAAATTGCTGTTCTGTATTGCTTGACCAGTGTAGTTTATCTCATCATGCTTTTTCAGTTTTCAATAAACCACACTGCTGTAAATGCTGTTGCTTTTACTAAATGTGACAAGAGAATAGGCCTTGAAGATTTGTACTCTCCTGTTTCAGAAAAGTTTTTGTTTGAGTTACATGCAAAGATTTTGAGAGGACCTTTTGTTTTGACATTAGTAAGATGTAGCATAACATCTTAGCTGATTGGAATCTCAAAAACATAATTGGTCTTCCTCCAACATCCTGTTCATGCATTGAGCATCAGATTTTTGGATTTGCAAAATCTGGTGAAGAAGCTATTTAGTTGTTTGTGAAAGGCAAATTGTTAGTTATGGTCAGTTGTCCTTTTTGGCTTGGTTGAAAATAGTTTAGGT